CCCCAAAACCCCAAAACCCCAAAACCCCAAAACCCCTAAGGGCTAATAGAGTGAAAATTAAGGTTAATTGATACTTAGATTATGGAAAATGGTATTAATTAAGATTCATTAAGATATACATTAGATTTATTATTTACCTACTACAAATAAAATGCTACTCAGAAGACTCTAAACTTAACTTTGTAAAACACAAAATTTACTCAATAAGCAGCAGTAATTAGCCAATGCTTCTAATTTTTATAGATTTAGCTTGAGATCCATCATCCAATCATCACAAGCAAATTTTTCGTCTGCAGTAGTAGCATAAGACGTGAAACAAGAGCCTAGATTCCTCGAATAAGTTGAATTGTTTTTCAATCGAGCTGCATCTAAGACTGGTGTGCCTGAAGATTATCTCGAGCAAATCAAGGCTTGTGACACTGTAGTTAGGTTTACTATTCCCTTAGTTAGAGACAATGGCACAGTTGAGAACATCACATGCTATAGAGCTCAGCACAAGCACCATCACTTGCCTGTCAAGGGAGGTACAAGATATTCGGAGCACATGGATTTGCAGGAGTCAATGGCCCTTGCATCTTTAATGACCTTCAAACTCATTATTGCAGGAATCCCCTTCGGTGGAGCAAAGGGAGGAGTGAAGATTAATCCATCAAAATACTCTATGCCCGAACTTGAGAGAATCACGAGAAGATACACAATGGAATTAGCCAAAAAAGGATTCATTGGACCAGCCATTGATTGTCTAGGCCCTGACATGGGTACAAACGAACAGATAATGACCTGGATTAAAGATCAATATGTATCAATGTATGGTGAGAACAACATCAATGCTGAGGGTTGCTGCACTGGAAAGTTTGTTAACCAAGGAGGTATTTAAGGTAGAGCCGAATCTACTGGTCTTGGAGTTTACTACGGGACTCAAGAGCTTTTGCACACAGAATCCTTCCTAGAGAAGGCTAATCTAACCGAAGGTATTAAGGGAAAGACATTTACTGTATAAGGATTCGGAAGTGTAGGCTATTGGGCCTCAAAGTTCTTCTAATAAGATGGTGGAAAGATCACAAGCATCGTAGAGTATAATTCTGCCATCTATAATCCCAAAGGATTTGACGTGGATGATGTCAAAGAGTATTTCAGAAGAAATGGATCTCTCTACAACTATCCTAAAGCGACTGAACAAACTATGGTTGATCCCCTATCATTCCTTGAAAAGCCATGTGATATTCTACTCCCAGCAGCCATTGAAAAATCAATCAATATGTTCAATGCTGATAACCTAAAATGTAAAGTTGTAGTTGAGGGCGCTAACGGACCCACTACTTTTTATGGTGAAGAGATTTTGCTCAAGAAGGGAATTGTAGTAGTTCCTGATATGTTGATCAATGGAGGTGGTGTTACTGTCTCTTACTTTGAGTGGCTTAAGAATCTTGAGCATGTTGCTCCAGGAAGACTCACAAAGAAGTATAAGCTTAAAAAGAATATTGAAATCTTAAGTTAAATGGGATATGTTTTCCCAGAAACCAGTCCTCACATGAATGAAATGGATGGAGCAAATGAGATTGAGATTGTTTACTCAGGGCTTGAAGAAATAATGACTGAAGCTGTTAGAGAACACTGGAAGTTCGCTGTAGAAAATAACCTTAACTTCAGAGATGCCTGCTTCGTTAAATCAATCAGGAAACTTCATAAGCATCTTGAAGAGACTGGACTACTTATCTGAGTAATCGAATCTATCAAAGACTGCCTCTACTTGGCATTTTAGATATATTTAAATCTTATCAAAAGCTCAATTAACTTTATTTTATCTCCAAGGGGTTTTGGGGTTTTGGGGTTTTGGGG